TCTGCAGAGATGTCAAACCCAGCCAAGGTCTCTGTGTAGGCACAAACCTTCCAAATGTTTCGGCCTTAGCTCCTGTCTCTCCCATTGCACTTCCTAACAGGAGCAGTGTCCACTCCTCTCCCACAGCAGCTCTAGACCCTTCCTAACAGGAACAGTGTGTCCACTCCTCTCCCACAGCAGCACTCGGCCTTCGGCTTCCTTTGTCCCTGGCACTCCTCAGCTCCCAGAGTGTACCACACCCTCGTGCCCCTCTGGGATGTAATGCTGTAAGGGCAGGGCACTGCCCCCTCCTAGAGCAAACATGATGTAGCGCAGGCTCTTCAGTGTTTGCTATCACTGTCCCCAGTCCTCCCTTCTCCGGCAGCTCACTGTGCTTTCCCTGTGTTTTGTTGAGTTCTCTGGAAGAGCAGTGCCCTCAGCTCAGCACTTCCCAGCCCTGACACGGCTCCTGAGCAGTTCTCCTTTATGCCACGCACTCGGGGCTTTTTGCGTTTCTACATCTGCACATCCCCTTCTTAGCAGCCCTGCCTCAGGATGCCAGTTGTCTTGTGTGGCAGCACATTTATTTCTGGCTTTATTTGGTTCTTTTTCGTTGTATTTTCTGTCTTTATCCATTATGATCACAGGCAGCCCTTTTGTCCTTAATTTTGCTTTCTGCAGACACTGTGTACATCGTTGTCATTTCTCAAGCTGGAATCTGTCCCCTTGTGGTGTATGCTGTCAGTTTCTTTCTTTGGTCCTGCTGTCTCCTTTCCATCTACAGAGTGATCTGCTTGTTATCTCCAATCCAGAGGTTTTTGTATTGACTGTATGGTCTAAAGTTCTATAGCAGAGCCACTTGTGAAAATTTTAGGCATTTTCTAATTTGGGGGAATAGGGGGTTCCTTATGTTCTTTCTCTGTACTTGCTCACCTTCCCCTCCCACCCTGCTTTCCTGTGTTCATCTGATGTAGGGCTTTTCTCTGACTCTTTGTTACTAAGCCACATTGCCATTTCGTTTCTTATCATCAGGTCACACTGTGTCTGCACACATTTGATTGTTATAGAAAGTGGGTAACTTATTGGTGCATCCCATCAATATTTATTGAGAAATTGATACATGCCAGGTGCACAGCAGATAAGAATCCCTTCCCAGAGCACTCTGGTGGGAGGAGGAGATTACGAACAACAAAATAGCATGAGTGCCAAAGGGAAGAAAGGTTGGGAGGACAGAGCGCAGAAAAGACATCATTGGCATTCGTGTTGGACTGGGAGAAACTGAGAGAGCAGCATGTGGAGTCTGGGAGAGCTCCAGGAAGGCTGTGCCGGGCTGGAGCTGTTAGCTTTGCCAGAGGAGCGAGAGAGGCAGGGAAGCGCCAGGTGGTGTGTGTAGCACGTGTGGAGGTCAGAGGAGATGCTTCTTCCCATACCCTTTGATGTAGGGCTGGGGATTGAACTCAGACTGTCAGTCTGCACAGCAATTGCCTTTACTCACTGAGCCATCTTGCTGGAGCCCTTGTATATATCTAACTTTAAAGGGTGATAGGAAGAAATGGGAAGGTCTCAAGTAGAGGAGGGACAAGACAGGCTTTGACTTTTTTGCATATCACCTGAACTATCACATTGGAAATAGGGTATAGAGGGTGTGAGTACAAACAGGGACTCCAGGAGGAGGCCATGGTAAGAATCTAGGCAGGGGAGGATGGTGAAGCAGACAGAAGCCATGGGCGTAGGGAACAGCAGACTCTGGTTACACTCTGAAGGTGGAGGGACAGTGTGGGGTATCCAAAGCTATGGAAGACTGGAATTACTCCTTGCTGAAAACTTGAAAACAACCCATGGGGAGCATGGTTTGCAAGTACAGTCTCAGCCACATGAGAAGCTTCGGAGATGTGTTAGGCCAACCGCTGTGTTCACAGACATCTGCTCAGGGCAGTGGTCAGAGCTGAGGATTCAGATTTAGAGCCATCGGTACGCCAGTGAGGAGCAAAGCCATGAGGCTGAAGGAGAGCACTCTGAGGGTGAGGGCACTCGGAAGAGACAGAGGACTCAATTTGCGTACCTGGATGTTGAGGGATGGGACAGATAGAAAGGAGGCAGTGTGTCTGGAGCACTGGTGTGAGGTGAGAACCAAGACTTGGTGGTTGGCTTTGGCATCATGGAAGAACCCTTTCTGTGAAGAGAGGGACTGGCTATCTGAGTAGAACAAGGGAGCAGAGGACTCGAGATGGTGGGTGTGGTTCCTTCTCTTTTGCACAAGAGAAGGAAAAGAAACGTGGTTGTTAGAATCATGATCAGGAGAATAGATTCCAGGTGAAAGTGTGGCAGGTGCACTGAGGGCACCTGTGATGAAGAGGCTAGTAAGAGAGTGAAGCCTGACACTGGGAAGTCAGCACATGACACCTGTGTCCAGACGTGCTGTGATGGGACACGCCTTAGCCAGAGCACACGGGGCCACAAATGCATGAGGTAATGGAGAGGTAGAATCTGCTTCAAACAGGCAGGAAATAAGTGTCCAAGGAAGTAGAGGGGAGACTGACCTAGGTACATCCCAGTGCCTGCCCAGGCCCACACCAGCCTAGCTCTCAACAAGCCTCCTCTATTTGCTGAACACTTCTTTGCTGCCAGTTCATCTATGTTTCCTGCTGCAGTCCTGAATCAACCGACTCTGGTTCCTTTTCAGTGGGAAACACATCGTAAAACTAAGGTCTCTTATTGACTGTAAGAGTCAGAGCCACAGAGAAAGCTGCCCTTGGAGAAGTGTCTTTCCCTCCTGAGCAACTCCTGTGTCTGGTCCTCCTTTGCCCCTCCAGGCCTCACCTGTTTAGTTTCTTGTTCAGCCTTCCTCTTTTCTTGACTCAAAGTACTAGAGACATGTATGTATTTTCTGTCCCCTTCCTGCTAGGCAGGGTGACACTGGAGCCTTTCTGGTATGCTTTTCCTAGTTAGCACTGTCTTGGGATTTTCTTCATTCTTTTCACAGCTGCCTAGGAAACCGTCACACGATGGTGGGTATGGGTGCAACTCAGCTACCCGTGTGTGTGAGCTGATAAGGGTTGCTTCCAACATTTTATAACTGCAGACCAGTACTAAAGTGCAACTGTTATCATGACCCTTGTGTTAGCATGACCCTTGCTCACATGTATTTTAATATTATCGGGCATCTGTCTTCGGCGTGGGCTGCTAGAAATAAAAGAATGGTGGGTAGAAAGGTAAGATGTGCATAGCTTTGCCAGGCAATGCCAAGTTCTCCAGAAGGCCAGATCAGACCTATACTTCCACCAGCAGTGTATCTGCTGCTGCCCCATGGCCTCAGAATGTTTGCCAGTGAAGTTGTAACACCTTAAGCAAAGGATTTTCATTCTGGAAATCCCATGCTTTCTCTAAACACAGGGGTTTTGTCAACTAGAACAAACAAGTATATCGTTATCCTAGCAATTGTAAAGATAATGATGGCTTACATTTCATTCTAGGTCTTGCTCCTTTGGTCTACCTGTCAGATGAGTGCCTTAATTTATTAGTGGTAAAGTTTGGGACAGATGTTAATGACGACATAAAGCCACGTGTGCTAGTTGCTGCGAGCAACCTCCAGTGGCACCCAGAATCCAGATCAGTAGTGCCGACTTTATTTGCTGGGAATTTTTCCGTATTTTCCACCAGTCTAAAGGAGGTCTACTTTCAGGACAGAGCCAACAGAATGAAGCAAGCTATTGAGGTAAGATCAGAAAGTAGGAAGCAGAACACAGTTTTAGCCCAGTGTTTCCACACATGAGCACGTGCTCATTCACGCCCTCCTTCCCTCACCCTCTTAGGGAGAGTTGGTTTTACATTGATGTGCACGCTTGACAGGTGCTATCAAATTTTCAGTGTCTCACCAGGCATGGTGGCACATGCCTGAGATTCCAGAACTTGAGTGTCATCCTCTACAGAAAGAACCGGGCCAGCTAAAGGCTAGCGAGACCCTAGCTAAACAACAAACAAACAAAAATGTGGCTCATTCTTTTGTTCTGAATGTTTTATTTCTAAAAGAAAATACTTTCCAAGAACATCAGTGTGTGAATTAGCAACTCAGGACACAGCTTTTTCACTTTATTCTCTTAGAATATCGATACATTTTACAAGGAGGCAGAAAAGAAGCTTTTACATCTGCTTAATGGAGACAGTCCCAAACGGTCCACCCCGACTAAAGACTCCACTCTGCTGGCTTCCACCTGCCCTGCTGCAGAACCCACTCCCACAGGTAGTCAGGTAAGTTATCAGTTTGAGAAATGACTTTGGGAAATAACAGGTGTCTGGCACGCCCTAGCAAATGTGAGGGGTAACTAAGCTGTATTTAACCTGTGGCTAGCTTGCTGTAGCTGCTCTATGTGGAGATTGTAACTTGTGTGTTGAAGTGAATGTAAAGCTTTGGGAGCAAACTACATGGTTGGCACTCCAAGGACATGTAGTTGAAAAGCCTTTTGCCTGGTCCTGTTGCTAGAAGAGCTGCCCATACATACCGTTTGCTAGCTGTTGCATTGTTTCTCAGGCCGGTTGGCTTATTAAATCATGGTAGGTGTCTGATTGCCAGGGTCGAGAGGATAAGTGGCCCTGTACAGCACCCTGACTCAATAAAGCAATCCTCACTCAATACAAGAAAAGCCACTGTTAAGAGTTAGACTGGCAGAGCTCCCAAGGTCCCAATGAGGAGCAAAAGGAGGGAGAACATGAGCAAGGAAGTCAGGACCGCGAGGGGTGCATCCACCCACTGAGACAGTGGGGCTGATCTATTGGGAACTCACCAAGGCCAGCTGGACTAGGACTGAAAAAGCATGGGATAAAACCGGACTCTCTGAACATGGCGGACAATGAGGGCTGCTGAGAAGCCAAGGACAATGGCACTAGGTTTTGATCCTACTGCTTGTACTGGCTTTATGGGAGTCTAGCCTGTTTGGATGCTCACCCTCCTAGACTTGGATGGATGGAGGGGGGAGGACCTTGGACTTCCCACAGGGCAGGGAACCATGACTGCTCTTTGGACTGGAGAGGGAGGGGGAGGGAAGTGGGGGGAAGGGGAAGGAAATGGGAGGCGGGGAGGAGGCGGAAATTTTTAATAAAAAAAAAAAAGAGACTGGCAAAGAAAGAAGTTGAACAGTTGCCAGTGACTCGGGAGAAAAGAAAGGTGTTAGAACAGGCAGGGTCAGCTGTGGCTCAGCAGATAAAGGTGCTGTGGCTGAGCCTGATGATCTGTGTGACCCACCTGGTGGAGTAGGGAACCTTCACAGGTGTGCTGGAGCATGTGAGTGCTCACGCGTGCACACACACATGCACATTACATGTACGCACACTAATAAGGAAATATTCAGAAAAGAGGGAGGAAGAAGTAGAAGTTAGAGTATGTACTTAAAATGATTCTGAAAATCTGTCTTTTTAGCTTTGTAACTATTGGAAAGTTAAAGCAGAAATGATGTGTGATTTGTTTTTAATTTTGTTTTCCTTTTCTAGTCATTTTTATATTCTCTTGTGTAAAATTATTTCCTATGGGATGGGAATAACAGCATGAAATTTTTTGACATCTATCCTTTAACAATTGTATAAGAAAGTGGCCTCTGTATTTTTTTAACAAAAGGTTAAATTTTATTTTGTTTATATATAAGTATATATTATGATAGGCTCCTTTTTTATGTTTTGTTAGAGGTTTTCACCTAACAGTGAGCAAAATTATCAAAGTCCATTATCACATTGCACACCAAAAGAGAAGTCTACACCCCTGGCTCAGTCAGCCCAGCCGGCTTCAAAGTCTTGTTACGGGGAGAGAGAAATTGATGACCCAAAGACCTGCAGAAAAAGAAGAGCCTTGGATTTCCTGAGTCGGCTGCCCTTACCTCCCCCGGTGAGTCCCATCTGTACCTTTGTCTCTCCGGCTGCACAGAAGGCTTTTCAGCCGCCACGGAGGTGTGGCACCAAACATGCAACAGCTAAGAAGAAAGAGCCCGGTTCCCCTCGGAGGACACCATGTCAGAAGGCCAGCGGCGTTTCTCTTTTGGAATATGATTCAGTAGCTGATGAAGAACTTGCCTTGCTCAGTACCCCAGCCTTTTTACCTGGCTCATCAGAAGGAAATGAACAAGCATTTCCTGGTGACTCCACAAGGACCCCTGTACCCCAAAGACAAAAAGACCCCAGCTAGCACAGAGGCCAGACCAGCATGGAGGACGCAGGTGCAGGAAGGAGTCTATCTCAGGGATTGCAGAGGTGACTACAGCGATGGAAAATTAGCTGTTGAGTCTTAGCCTCGCAGTTGGTAAAGTGTGTGCAGTTCCAAGCTGCACGTTTGTGAGACAAGACACAAATGACAGCACATTGCTGACGGTTTGTTTACTGTACAGATGTTCCGCCTGGTTCTGTATTTATGTAACTATTCAGATGTCTAAAGCTGGCCAGATAGTAACTAACTTAAAGATCTTTAAATCTTTGTCCTTGGATTTGATCACTACAAGCATATTTTACATGCAGAATAAACACACCTTTGCTTTTTGTTTGTGTCATTGACTCATTAAAGTTGAGGTCTCTAAGCACAGTTACTTTACTAGATAATTTGTTTTAGTTTCGTTTCTGTTTTTAAGGTTTTTGTAGGTAACTCCTATGACATAGTGTTCTTTCACACGTGCTTGGTTCTGTCGGATAAACACACGACAGTCGTGTCTACTTCTGGCCAGTTATTTATTGACAGCAATTGGAACCTTCAAAGTCGCTCCTTTCTATACTCTCTCACATTAAATTATTCCAGCTAGAAATCCAGCCAGACATAATCGTGCACACCTGTCGTCCCTGCACGAGGTAGAGGCAATACTGGGAGTGCAGGTCATCCTTCACTAACAGCAAGTTCCAGCTGCCTGCTGTGTCGCACCTTCCCAACCACAGCGCCATCTACGGGCAAATGCTCTCACTGCACTTCAGCCTTAAAGTGTTCCATCCACTCTTATTAGTGATTTAAGGATTGTTCATAAAATAATTTTGTCTTTGTGTCCTAATCATTTTTCTGGAACCCCAACCTAGAGCAGAGTAAATGAGTCTTACATGAATGAGAATGATGCTATTTAACCTTTTTGTTTGTTCTTTCATTTGAGACAGGGTTTCTCTGTGTAGCCCTGGCTATCGTAGAACTCGAACTCAGAGATCCACCTGTCTCTCCCTCCCCAGTGCTCAGACTAAAGACATATGCCACCACTGCCCGACAGAAATGTAACCTTTTTTCTTGTGAATTCTATCAAAAATGCTACTACTTTGCCCATCTTCTCTCAGGCCACATAGTACAGGCACCTTTTACATGGACCACAAACATCCATGCTGCATGAACAAAGTATGAAGCTTAAGCATGTGTGCAGATTTTCCTTCTTACAGTGGCAGTGATTAAAGCCAACAGTGTTTACTGCGTGACCAGGGGTAGATGGCGAAAGCATTTGGTGGTGTTTATTCTTTGAGAGCCTTCGGGTCACGGAGGTCTCTGCTGGCTCTGTAAATAATGGAAGTGGGGAGACAGTGATGTAAGTTCAAAGGGCCCAGAAGTCAGAAGCCATAGGAGAAAGAAAAGAACACAGTGCTTCTAACTGGGATAAGCCTGGAGGCATTTAATCAGTTGTTTATGTTTCTAACCAAGTATTTTGGTATCTCCTCGTAGGAGGAAGCAGGGACATAGCTGGGCAGGAGACCGAGAGCTCTGAGAAAACTGGGTCCGCAGCCTGAAGCCTCTCTCTGTGGTCATCAGCTTCGGCTGAGGCAAACCAAAGCTCTGAAAGCCAACCAGTCATATCAGGGAATGTGATTCTGGCCCTTTGGGTGCTCCCGTGGAACCAAGGGAAGGCTATTCCATTTGGGCTCTCTGACACTTCTCCCCTCTGCCAACCTAGATGATGCAGCCTTCCATACCAAAGTCATTGTGCAGGCAGCATCCAGGCTGTGAATCCCACAGCTACCTGGGCCTGGCGGCTTGGAAAACCAAGTGAGTTGCTGTAGGACTGCTGTGTGCTGTGCTAGGTGTTAGAATTTAGCAAAGTCAGACTGGCAGATTCATCCCAATTTACTAGTGTGCTCACCAGCTGGGCTTTCTGTGTAAGACACCAGTTTTGAAAATGTTAAGGAAGTGTGTTGCTTGTTGTCATGAAGATGTTGAATGGACTTCAGCAGTGTTGATAATGGGATGGTAAGTAGGCCTTCTAATGTGCAGACTTCATTCCTCCTAGTTATTAACGATGATTCATGAATAAGCTTATGATATATGCAAAGGTTATTTTATGGTTGAAGTGCTTGGGTTTTGGTAAATGTTTTGTTGTTAAGCCAAAAATAAGTTCAGTGGCAAACCCAATATAAATGCAATACCATATACAATTTTAATAACCATAAAAGCACCATTATATAAGACACTTAAAATAATATTTCACAAAACATTAGAAAGAAGCTGTTGGCCAAAAAATAAATAGACCATACATTCTACGTGGTCTTGTCACAATCTCGTACCAAATGAATCTGATTCCAGCCTGCTGGGATTTAATTTGAACTCATAAATTCATAACTGATCTGAGGGGCACTCCACATGACATACATACCCTGCTGATCTCAATGCCGTGACTTTCACATCTCCTTGTATGACCTAAACCCTGGCTGCTTCATTGCTTTGCACTCCCAAACATCCGGGTGGCTAACTAATCACACGTTAGAGGCATCATTTCGGAAATCACTTGATGACTCTTTAAAAGTGGTGTTTTTGCAAAAGCAGGTTATTTACATTGTTCGACTACGAGCTGGAGGGGGAGGGAGGGTCTGTCCCGCTGATGCTGCTGAGCGCAGTAGGGTCTGACTGTAATGGTACTCATTCTCCTTAGGGGCCAAGTACTGAGAATTCATAGGCGTGTTTAACAGTGACACATCTTTAAGGGGAAAAGTCCCCTAATGGTACCCTGAAGGACAACATCCCCTTCTGTGCATTAAGTCTAAAAGAAAATCAGTGCCATTAGAGTGATGGCTCTGGTCTCTGGATGCAGACTGTCAGAGTAGCAAGGGCACTGAGCTGCTTCCTGCCTCCGCCTCCGCCCCCCCTCATGCTCCTGCTTTATGGAGATGAATCTGTCAAAGGCAGTGGTACTGTAGCCCAGAGAGATGTGCTAGGAATGCTTTGTTTATGACTCCGCAACTAAGTGATAATCTTGGATCTCGGTTTCAAATCAGCTCCTTCTCTAGAGAAAGACCTCTGGGTCCTCAGCAGAATCCCCATCGCCAAGCCACATGGGCGCTCTCTGACATCGCTTGTTGGAGATAATGAATATAATGACCTCTGTTCAGAAATTTTCTGGGCTTGGCTATTTACATTGGAATTAGAGCTCTGGCTAAAACTGAACAAAGAATAAATACCAAAAATTGAAGTAGAAACTTCTTTAGGAAAATTCTGCAGTGGCTGTGCACAGACAGCTAATATCCATGGTGACAGCCACCCCTTCTGAAGCTCTCATTGGAGAAGCCGCCGTGAGCCCTCCGGTTGGGGAGCTCTGTGTAGGTGCTCCAGTACCCAGAGCCACTGGGAGGCGCGCTGTTCCTGTCCTGGTTTCTGTTCGCTCTGCTTGGCTTTTCTGCATGGAGGACACTGTGAAAGGTAACATCATGTTCATACCGTTCTTTCATTCGGTGGATTTTTTCTCTTGGGACTCCATGGATGTTTCTTCTACACAGAAGAAAAAGCCACAAGTGTTTAGTTAAGGCAGGCTATCAACACAAGTAACGTACATCACAAATCCTGCATTGCATGGCTGCTGTGCTGCCTCAGCGTGTGAGGTCCAGCTCTGCTGGCTCTCGTGCCGCCTGGCACTTGCTTTAGAAAGGCTTTGTTTCAGCCGGGCACTCGGGAGGCAGAGACAAGCAGATCTCTGTGAGTTCAAGACCAGCCTGGTCTATAGTGTGGTTCCACGACAGGCTCCAAGCTACAGAGAAACCCTGTCTTAAAAAATGAAAAACCAAAAAAAAAAAAAAAGCTTTGTTTCTGGTGATATCAACAATGAACAAACACCATAAGATTTAACTCCTCATGTATTTAGTGATATGCCTGTTGATGACATGTGTACATCTATCAGTTCAGATCAGCTGGTCTCTGATACCATTAGATGATGCTTACTAAAACAATCTTAAGTTCCAGAAGGCACAAATACCAGCTGGGGACGTGGTTAGACATATAATTGCCAAGATTTTAATTACAGAATAGAGTTCATGAACCATGTCAGTTTTAACAACCAGGCAATCGAGGAGGTGGCCACAGACTCATTTTGGAAATACTGCTGGGCCATTGGCATCAGGTAACACAGAGCGTGGCTATCAGAAGCCATGCATTAAAAACCAAGTTAGTATTCTTCGGACACGTGTTGCTGTTAAGTCAAAGCAGCACTTGTAGCGTGAATGAGCCACGTTCCGCTTCCCACTTGAAGGTCTCGCTTTAGCCTAATGCAGAAGCACCACTGGCATGTACATCCCATGCAGAGGCAGTGCTGTGGATGCTCATTAATGAAGAAGCAACTGAGCATAAGGTGAAGTGCGTCCTTCTAAAGGACCAAGTCCAAGCCAAGGATTAGCATTCAGCATTGTATTAGACATCTGACTCAGAGCTAAAGTCTTCACATTAATAGTTCCAAGTTTATCAATTTCTAAGAATTACCATTTCTGACCTGATAACTACAGTCCATTTCCAGCCTGAAAAGATGCTTTTGTTCGGTCTGAAATACCTGAAAACAGCAGGATACAGAATGAGGAACTAGGAAAACAAAGAGGTACCTGGCTAACTCTTGAACGTTGAATTTCCAGCGAGTGTCGGGTTCTCGGAATATAACTTCATAGTTATTCTCAAGTGCCTGATTTTTCAAAAGTACATAAGACAATGAAGACATGGCATGTATGCTTGGGGGTGTTCATGCTCCCCTTAACATTCACCACAGCCTTGCCCAAAGCCCCCTGTTTTACGAGTCATCCAGGCCCCGAATCTGTCCCCATACCTAGCCACTTATGCTGTGTTACATGTCTCATCGACAGAGTTTATAGTTTTATCCAGTATGACTCTGAACATCCTTTAAGACAGATCACTGGACTCATGATGAAGCGTCCCAAACACAGGTGTGAACAAGGAACCTGGAGAATCCTAAAGTCACTTCCATGATCATGGAGTTTCTTCTGCTTTGGTTTGTAACTGAGAGTGCCATCATAACTTAGAAAGTAAAAGCGATTTCCACAGATTTTAATATAGTGTTTCCTACAGGTTACAGCTCTACCTGCTCCACAGTGCTCGGCCCAATGCCCTGGGACCCATTTCTGTGAGTTTAGAGAAGTAGTAAGGGGGCTGGAGAGACGGCTCAGCAGTTAAAGAGCATTGGCTGTTCTTCCAGAGGACCCAGGTTCAATTCCCAGCACCCACATGGCAGCTCACACCTGTCTGTAACTCATTTTCTAGGATCTGATATCTTCATGCCAGTGCACCTAAAATAAAAGATAAATTACTTTTTTAAAAAGAAAATTAGTCTCATGTCAAATCTAAACAGTCAGAAACTGACAGCTTTATTCAAACAGCCTTCTGTTATCACCAGTACTCAATGTGTTAAAAATAGAATTACGTAAGCTAAGAGGAGGGCTCCTGCATAAGGAGGCAGCATGCATACGTTCTGATGCGCTGTTACACCAGAGGGGGCTACAGTTAATCGTATAGAAATCAAAACAGCCAACAGAATTCTGAGCGTTCTCATCTCATACAAGACTGGTGTTTGTGGTGGTGGATAACCTAAGTACCCTGAATTTATCAAACAGCCCACTGTACTCCATGAATATGTGAGATTAGTAATAAACTAATAGATACATTTAAATAGATGTTTCCCCTTCATCCTTTGGATAATCAGTTCTATTCAGGAAAAAAAATCAACCACTGCGTCTTAAGAACAGCTAATGCCTGGGTCTCATTAACGGCTTTGGGTGTCTAATATCCATCCAGATCAGAGACGTGAAAAGACTTCCTGGAAGTCAGTGCCAGATGCTTTTAATGCTGCGTTGGGCTGTGCCCGCACCATCAGCTCTTCATGGCCCTGTTCGCCTCATGTGGCCTCAAATGAGGACTGAAATACAGAGTTTCTATTCACCCATTGTACCTGGGCCTGAACAGAACCGACGGGGAAGCCTCCGTAGGCAGAAGCGCAGCTGTCTGTCTGCTGTTTTGCCTAAGTGTGGAAAGAATCCTAAAGCCCAACTGCCATGGAGGAGACTTCACAACATACTGGGGGCCATGTGCGTCTCCAGAAGCTGTCTGCCTCCTGCTCTACTCAGTTTGCGTGTGCACTGAAAACCTGTTAGCGGAAGATGTAAACTGTCTGAAAAGATCAGAATGGAGCTGAGCTGTGTGTTGATGTTGGTATTCCACTGTCTTAAAGGATCACGCTGGCAATCCTAAGCCTGTTTATAGATGAAGAAAGTCTGTCACCCTGGGACTCGCAGCAAAACACTGCTGAAATCCCCAGCCTGCAACAGGGAGATCTGGCTTGCTGGGACCCAGAGCCCTGCTAGTACATCCCCTTGTCTGTAACTCCCTCAAGGATGGGTGGATGCTCCCCAGAACAGAAAATAGCCCAAACTAAGGAGGCAAAGGCACAGTTCTACAAGTTCGAGACCAGCCTGGTATACATAGTGAGTTCTAGGATAGCCAGGTAGAGAGAACCTGGAGAGAGAGAGAGAGAGAGAGAGAGAGAGAGAGAGAGAGAGAGATTAGATTTACCAAAGACTCAAACCAGTACTCCCATTTATGGAGGCCCTGAGGTAAGGTAGCCCCTCAGTGACTGAAGAGCAGAGAAACCCTAAAAGAGCTTTACCTGCTCCCTGCGAGAATTATCGTTAGTGAGTATGTAATCATGGACGACCAGAAAAAGAGGAAAGAGCACAGGTTTCAACTTTCTCACAAAACGCCCACAACGGAAAATTCAGAATGATACTTCTTCCTACCATGACTGCATAGGGCTTCATTTCCCAGGCGTGCAGGTTGGTGTTATCAATAATAATGGGGGATATGCCATTCTGCATTGCTTTCCTTGCTGTAACACAATGCAACACAACAGTGAACGACACGCAGCAGGCACCAGCGCGAGCATCACCCCCATTTTGTCACTTCCATTGCAGGAGGCCTTCCTCACTCAGTGAACCGCTACCTAGTGCAGAACCGCTAGCGGGGTTTTCCTTTAACTGGGATCTACGACAAGAGGTGAAGCCCTGCCACCCTGCTCGGGTAGAGAAGTGGCAGCGCTTGTCTCTAAAGCTCCTTTAGAAGCTGCTACAATCGACATGCACCACAGGGATTCCCGGGAGTTTGGAAAGGAATTTGTCACCTCGCTTCTGGTTCCACTCATGAGCTTCCTCCAGGAAGTCCGGGTTGAACTCATAGGCACCATCTTCCCTGAAGAAAAAATCGTCGGTGCTGAAAATCACGGCCCTGGGGAAGTCCCGCTGCATTTCTCTGCAAAGTGGAGAAACGGAAAAGGGATTTGCCCCGTTACGCTTGGTCATGGGAGAACGGCTTCTTTCCATCTTCAACAGCGAGCAGATTAAAATTCTGAGAGCTGCACGTTTTGAATTTCCCACTCCACTAAGGAGGAGAATCGATCATCTCAGCCATCACTCCTCAACGGGAGGCAGAAGCCTGAGAGGCCGCTGTGCAGGTTGCCAACCCTCGGAAGTAGAGGTCACTGGTCACGGGCACTGCCTCCTGCAGCATCCAAGATTGACTGACACTCCAAAGCAAAGTTGAAGGCATGGTGACTGTTTCCTGAGGGACATCAGTTACCAGGGCCACTCTGCTCCAAGGCACACCAGTGCCCTCCCAGACCTCCCCTCAGGCACCATGCCCCAGGCTGCAGCCCTTCCCTTAGCCCCTAAACTCTTACCTGTCCTGGGTCCCATTCCTCGGAGCTCTGATCTCTGTAAGGACCCATCTGAGCAACTAGTTCTTGCTGAGGTATGAAATGTGGATAAAGGAGATGTGTGTGAGCTACCCTCTGAGTTCTAACAATACCTAAACCAATGAAAAAAGCACAAGAGAAGGAGAGAGGTGAACCCAATAATGTCCCTGTGCCTTCTGAGCGCTACCCCTGGGGTCTAAATGGGAAAATGTCATAGGAAACGATAACACCACAGAGCGCCTTTACGTGACACAGAAAGCGAGGTAAGTTCTGCAGGAAAGACTTTCAAGGGGGGTTTGACTTGGGATGGCATTACATTTGGGGGCAGGTACTATTAAATCAGAAGTGACAGGGTCAGTGCCAAATACCGTGTTTCCTTTAAAAGGAAAAAAAAATGCAGAAGCCGGTTATCTGGCAATGCATGCCTGCAGCACAGCGGACTCTGCTAGGGCCTAGCAACCACTCCTGCAGCTGTGTGGAGAGTGACGGGTGCGAGATACAAACGGGAAAGCAGGCAGAGGCATGGGGGTCTTTTTAAATTCTGCTCTTGGTAGAGACAGAGGCAGCTCATCGCCTCCTTCCCCCCTTCTTGTTTCATTTTGTTTTTCAAGACAAGGTCTCTCTGTGTACAGCTCCGACTGTCCTGGAACCGCTCTGTAGACCAGGCTGGCCTCTAACTCACAGTTCCTCCTACCTCTGCCTCTCGAGTGCTGGGATTAAGAGTATTTTAATCCGGCCAGAATATAGAGCTGTAGAGCCGAGTCCCACCCTCATGCTTCCATTCCAGCCGCCGTCTACCTAAACTTGTTTGCTCAATTCTAAGACAAAGAGAACAATCCCGGGGGCTGAAGGGAGAGCCCTTTGTAAAGGGGAAATACTTAACAAACGTGAGCCGCACTATTACGCTGCTTGTCATAACTCACCCCACCCTGACTGATGGCAGGGACCATGCACCTGGGCATGTGGGAATATGGGGCTTTTTAGGGGTTGCGGTGGATGCGAGAGAGGGGAAAGGATAAGAACTTCCGCTTCGAAATGTCGGTAAATACATATTCCAGAAACAGCCCGCCAGCATCTCTACCTGAGTTCTCCAGGAGGCGTGACAGCAGAGTTGGAAATACTGACAAAGTAAACGCATTTGGTTACAGGCTGTGTTGGCTCATGGGCAGTCCAGTGACTATTTGATTTTAACATAACCTGACTATCCTTGAGAGACTTTTGAGAAAATGTAGGACTATATTTCTTTTTTCTTTTTCTTTTTTGGTGTTTGTTTATCTTGTTGGTTGGTTGGTTTTATTTGGGGGAGGGGGTTGAGACAGGGTTTCGGTGTGTAACAGCCTTAGCTGTCCTGGAACTAGCTCTTGTAGACCAGGCTGGCCTCAAACTCACAGAGATCCGCCTGCCTCTGCCTCCTGAGTACTGGGATTAAAGGCGTGCACCACCACTGCGCGGCATTTATTTTTATTTATCTCCATGCGTACCACCTGCACATCTGTCCATGAAGGCCAGAAGAGGGCATCAGATCTCCTGGAGCTGGAGTTAGTTATGCACCACCATGTGGGTGCTGGGAACTAAACCCAGGTCCTCTGCAGGAGGGCAAGGGATCGAGCCATCTCTGCAGGCCTGAGGTAACAGATTTCAATATCAAAGGACCAGTATCCATTAACCAACCTATAAAACCCCTATTGACAACTGCCAGACACCACGTGTTACATGAAGTGTTACAGCCCAGAAAGAAATCAAGGAGTTGCTTTCAGGAATGTAGGAGCCGGCTAAGGGGCCAGGTCTCCTGCACAGTTTGTTTGGCTCATGTAGGACAAGCTGTACCAGCCAAACACAGAGAGAATTCGGATCAGCAACATCAACATTTTGGCAAGGGGAGCATTATAAAAGGGAGCATTTGCCTTGGGCCTCGAGGGTAACTTCTACCTCATGTGAGAGAGGATGAGAGAAGGCGGGAGCAACATGCCCAAGGTGAATAAACAGGAGCAAAGACACTGCAGCCCCACCGGGGCGCACCCCTAGAAATGCTAGGCGCAAAGCTTTGGGAGCCTCTATGGAGCTTTTTCCACGTGTAATCCTCAAGGGCTCCTGTTTCCTGTCAGGGCTTTAACTACGGACAGAAGTTTAAGTTTCTGATGTTTTCTCTCCATAAACTTTAAGGCGTGGTGTTCGTTTCACACTTTCTTTGCCCCTTAATCACTTCAAGAAAACGTAACACCACGGCCCTTTTTGATTGCGATGTTTTACTCAGAGTAAAATCGCGCAGGCCCACCGCGGGGCAGCAGACACATCTAAGCACGGTCTGCATAGCCCTGCCAGCTAACTGGCAGGCAGGAGCGCGTTTCACGTGTGGCGCTGAGGAGTTTCCCCTTTGGGCTGTCCCGTTTACTTTTTTTTTTTTTTTTTTTTTTTTTTTTGCTTTTACCTAACTGTCAAATTAGTATCAACAGCCATAGTAACAGCTTGAAGACTCAGGGCAGTAAAACAGTAGCTGAGCAGAGGAGTATTTAGACTGTAAGACCTAAGTATGAGCAATAAATACCATTCCATCGGCCTCGGGAGAGGAGGGACGGGCCTGAGCCCTAGCTTTCTCTATGGTGGTCAGGAGCCGCGTGCAGTTAGGGAAATTGAGGAAAGGAAAAACGGAAGAAAAGGGAGAAAATAGACCATTCCGTGCACATCTCGCCCCTCCTCCACCGCCCCGCCCCCACTCACTAAAACTATGAGAGAAAATCAGGCACTAATCTATATTTCATAATTTATTTTCCCACGATTATTTAACCATCAAGAACTATAAAGTCACTGGGCGGTGGTGGCACACGCCTTTAATCCCAGCACTGGGGAGGCAGAGGAAGGTGGATCTCTGTGAGTTTGAGGCCAGCCTGGTCTACAGAGCAAGTTCTAGGACATCCAGGGCTACAAAGAGAAAACCTGTATCACCCCCCCGCCCCCCCAAAAAAATAATTACTTGAATTTCTGTTTTAAAGATCTCAAAATTTCCTCTCATAGTCTCATAATTTAAGATTATTTTAATTTATTTTATATTTAAATATTTAAGCAATTTCTCTTATAGCTCCACCAATATTTTTCATTTGTTTAAGTACCACCTTTGGTAATTCTGTCTTTCATCTATAACTGTCCTCACGCCTCTACGGATTTCCTTTTGAAAGAGTCCAGATAAGTTCCGGTCGTCTGCTCAGGACTGGGTCCAGACTAAACATTTTTGGAGGGCTGGTACGGAGGAGAGGTGTGCTTCCTGACCTCACGTGACACCCTGCCCAGTGTGCTCATGCATACACCTGGCTAACAGCCAGGGCCAGTGAGTGTTCCACTGTCACACTGGCTTCTTGTGTGAGCAGAAGCCCGGACCACGTGACTGTGCTGGATTCTAGCAGCCTTCCCTGGACAACCTACACCTTAGAGATCCTGCAAGTCTTACGTGGGGATCATGGAATCATTTGAAAGTCTTTTTCCTATTTTCTAGGTAGAATTTTGTTGTTGTTTTGGTTTGGGTTTTCAAGACAGAGTTTCTCTATATAACAGCCCTGGCTGTCCTTGGAACTAGCTATGTAGAACAACTGGACGGCCTCAAACTCACAGAGATCCTCCTCCCTCCTCCGGAGCGCTGGGATTAAAGGCGTGCACCACCATTGCCCGGCTAGAGTTATTTTATAAGGAGCGTTCTCTTTCCTCTTTTCATAATCTTTACTTTATTTATTTATTTATTTATTTTCTTATTGCCTTCCGCTTTGGCCCCTTAAGCGCTGGGATAGCAGGCGGGTACCACTGTGCCCAGCCATACTAAACTTGGCTTGCTTGCTTGCTGTGTAACTCTGACGGGCCTAAAGTTCACTCTGGAGACCAGGCTGGCCTTGTACTTGTGACAAACCCTCCTGCCTGTCTCCCAAATGCTAGGATTACAGGCGTGCGCCACTACACTCAGTCCTGTCATTGTTCTTTCTGATGTCCCACTGTCCCGAGTTTAGCTAGAGGTACCACCTTCAAGCCTGCTCCTCTGTCTTTGCTCATGGAAAGTATCCTTTTGTTCCTAATCAGCAAAGACACACATTGAAACATTAAAGTCCTGAATAAATAACAAATAAACAAGTAAATGGATACGGATAGGCTCCTATATTTCTCCTGGATAGAAAATGATTTCGAACACTTGGGGTTTTCTTGCCAGACTCTAAAGTCTTTTCTTTGAGTTGTCTTTTCATTTATTAATTGTGGTTGTGCACACGTGTGAGGTCATAGGACAACTTTCACCGGCATTTCCCTCCCTTCACCGTGCGGGTTCCAGGCTCAGATAGGTCCTTAAGGCTTGGTGGCAAAGTGCCATGACTGAGCCCAAATTTTAGTTGCTTGTTTACTCATTGGTTTGTTTTCTGAGACAGTCTCACTAGGTAGCCCTGAGCAGCCTATAATTCAGCCGCTGCCTCCCAAGTGCCCAGTGAGGGCCTCCGAAGGCGTGTGCCTGGATACCCAGAGTAAACGTTTTTATTTCGTCTTTTTGTATAAAGACAGGAATGAGATATAAAGCATACCAAGTTTCCAC